GTGGGGACAACACCATCAGGCAGCGCTGAGGCGGCGTGACATGCCGCCCACCCTTCCCAACACTCACCCTCCCGGGACAAGGCCAGGCCACCATCGCTTCCATCCCCCAAAGAGTCCGACTCCTGGGTATGGGTCCAGGACCCCTTTCTCTTCCCAGGACTATGGGAGTGGGGCACCGCAGCCCTGCTGTCCTCAGGGCTTGCCCTGGCCCTCCGTGCTGCCAGCCCTGCCAAGGGCAGAGTGGCACCTCTGATGGGCGGTGGGCTCTTGTACCCGACATAGCAGTGAAGCCCATGGTCGTGCTTGTCTCCCCTACAAGGGCTGCAGGGTCCCACTCACCAGCAGCGGGGGTGATTTCACAGCTTGCTGGCTGTCCGAGCGCCGCAGGGCCCCGTTCACCCGCCGGCGAAACATCTGCAGGGGAGGAGTTCAGCTCAGTGGCAGGGTCCCCATGGGCAGCTCCAGAGGCTAAGATGGCCCCTGGGGATCCTTCAGCTGGCCCCATCCCGAGGAGAGCAAGCAGGGCCCAGCCTAGACCCCTGGAAGTCACAGGGGCAGGATGGGATCCCACCCCAGAGACAACATCCAGCTCCAACCCTCACCTTGCGGATGCTGCCTCCAGACTTTTTCACCATCAGCTCGTCCACCATGGACTGCAGGCAGATGCTCAGCATGATGGCCTACAAGGGAAAGGTGTCACAATGCTCCATGCACCCCACGACCTTCCCGACACACCACGCCGAGCCCAGACCGCCACCTCGCTCCTGTCCTTGTCCACCGCTGGCCTGGTACGCAGGCAGCCCTACCTGTGGACTGGTGATGGTGACCCACTGCAGCCGGTCCACCTCCAGCTTCCCCTCGGACTTGCCCGGGCTGCGCCCCGAGGGACCATTGCTCATCGGCACCTGCAAGGGCACATGCTGAGGCTGGGAGCCTCTGGAGGGAAAGCGGCCAGCTTCCCAGGCCCCTGTGCTGACAGAGGGCAGCCCCCAGCTGGGTGCTGGGCACCCTGCCCAGCTCCCACTGGCCTTCCACCACCATCAGCTCCCCTCGCAGCAGCAGCAGCCCTCTCAAATGTCCTCATACCGATGACCTCCTCAGCCTCAAAGCATGACTCGGACCCTCCCCAGGCCAGCTGGGCTGGAAGCAGGCAACACAGCCAGCACTTTTCATGGGGAGAGCTGCCAGAGCAGCCCGGCACAGCTGGGTCCCACCAGACCCCACAGAGCCCTCCCTGCTCCCCAGCACCCCGCAGGCAAGTGGCACTCACCGAGGACGTGACCCGCCAGCACCGCATGCGTGTGACCTTGAAGCTGCCTTCCTTGATCTGCTCGCTCGGCAGCCGCACCTGGAAGTTGAGCTCGTTGTTGCCAGCACTGACGACGACGTGGCATCCCTTCTCAGGGAAGTCAGTGATGCAGGGGTCAAACTTGAGATAGCCGTAGTACTTCAGGGTCTGCGCCAGGCGGATGAACTGCAGGCAGAGCCAAGGAAACTCAGCACAGACGGCCGCCCTCCCGCCACACCTCCCGGGCCAGGAACAGGCAACAAACTCGGTGAACCACATGTTCACACGGGAGTTGTGCCAGTCCGGTGCTGGGACTGGTCCAGTCACAGCATCATGCCCTTCCCTACCTCCTTCTTGGAGACTTTTTCCTGAAGGGACTTCAGCTGCCGGTGCTGTTCCTTGTTGACAAGGATCCATCCATGCTCGATGTCCGACACCGTCTACCAAGAAGCAGAGGCTGAAGAGCAGCTCGGCCCAGAGCCACCTGAGACCCAGCACAGCCGTAGCTGAGGGGTGCGGTGCCCCTCCTCACCTGGCTGGGCCACACCGACCCTCACCTGTGCATACAGCAAGTTCAATCCCACACGATGCTCCATTACATCGTCGTCATAGGAGGAGTCCCAGTAGCTAGAAGGGAACCATATGGGTCAACCTATTCCCCAGCTCCTAACAGTGGTGGGGAGAAAAACACCCTCCACGCTGGGACAAGGTGCTGGGCTGGCTCTCCGGCCAGCTCCCCCGGTAGCCGTCAGTTGCCATGCCCCGCTTCCCCTCTCAAGCAGCTGCCAGAGGCAGGAAGGGCCATGTCTGGGAAAGCAGAAACAGGGATCAAGCCCAGCAGGGCAGACCAGCCCCCGGTGTCATGGCCGGGGGGACACCCAGGTGTGTTCCTGGGGGCCAAAGCACCCTGCGGGCAGGCGATGATGGCAGGAGGGGAGGGGTCCCTCTGCAGAGCAGGGAGCCCCGGACACCACCCCACTGCTCCAGCAGTTGCTGCCCCTCCGGTCCTGCCGCTCACCTCTTGCGCAGGATGATCCTGAACTCGGGGTTGTGCAGGCTGGTGACGGACACATAAGGCAGCTCAAACTCCTGCAGCTTCCGCACAACTGCAGGGAAACAGCAGCTCAGCAGCGGCTCGGGGCAGTGGGACCCCACTGGATCCCCCCCAGCCAGGGCAGGGCCATCTGGTCTAAGCACACAGCTCTCGCTCCGGGGCAGGGTGCAGGACAGACGTCCCACCCCAGCCCTCGTGGGGCTCCAGCATGCTCTACTCACAGGAGAAAGCTCCGTCCTTGGTCTCTCTCACTAGGAAGAGGCTGAAGTAGCCGACCAGGTCATCTGGCAGATCCAACTTAGAGGCCACAGCCTGGGAGCGAGAGCAGGAGGTCATCACTTCCCGCAGAGAGGCAGCACTTCCACGTCCTTACCCCGCGACAGGAGCCTGTGTGCGTTCTGGGGCCTCCCAACGGCAGGAGGGCAGCATCTCAGCTGCGCTGGGGGCCAGGGCAGGGTAGGCAAGTGGAGACAAGTGGGGCCCGGGAGGATCACTGCCACCATGAAACAGCTGGGGGCCTCCCGACATCAGTCTGGGCCCAGAGAGGGCCACAAGCACATCAGCACACCCCTTCCAGCTCCACTGCTCCACTGCTCTTCAGCCCCCCAAGAGAACCCTGCTCTGGGGTAGGGACATGGCAGGGAGGGCCAGGGGGCACGTGTGGGAAAACACAGAACTCGGCAGGAGGAGCTAGTCCTGCCCA